TATGCAGATCCTTGGGTGTCAATCTTGAATCTCAAACCCAATACCATGTCCTGGGATCACAGTATCCACCACGGCACATGCGTGGTCTGTGCATATTCAGAAGTAGGATTTGGGTGGGATCAGATAGTAAACTAAGCATAATGAGTGGTCCCTTTATATTTAGAGGTGGTAACTGAGCAGGTCCATCCATAAAGTGGGCATGATGGATGGTCCCTGAATATTTAGAGGTGGGAACTGGGTAGGTCCAGCCATAAAGTGGGCATGGTGGATGGTTCCTGAATATTTACTGGTGGGAACTGGGTAGGTCCATCCATAAAGTGGGCATGATGGATGGTTCCTGAATATTTAGAGGCGGGAACTGGGCAGGTCCATCCATAACGTAGGCATGATGGTGGGTTCCTGAATATTTAGAGGTGGGAACTTGAGAGGTCCATACATAAAGTGGCATGATGGATGGTTCCTGAATATTTAGAGGTGGTAACTGGGCAGGTCCATCCATAAAGTGGGTATGATGGTGGGTCCCTGAATATTTAGAGGTGGAAACTGGGTAGGACCATCCAAAAAGTTGGCAAGGTGGATGGTTCCTGAATATTTAGAGGTGGGAACTGGGCAGGCCCATCCATAAAGTGGGCATGATTGATGATTCCTGAATATTTAGAGGTGGGAACTGAGCAGGTCCATCCACAAAGTGGGCATGATGGATGGTCCCTGAATATTTAGAAGTGGGAACTGGGCAGGTCCATCCATAAAGTGGGTATGATGGTGGGTCCCTGAATATTTAGAGGTAGAAACTGGGTAGGACCATTCAAAAAGTTGGCAAGGTGGATGGTTCCTGAATATTTAGAGGTGAGAACTGGGCAGGCCCATCCACAAAGTGGGCATGATGGATGGTCCCTGAATATTTGGAGGTGGGAACTGGGCAGGTCCACCCATAGCGTGGGCATGATGGATGGTCACTAAATATTTAGAGGTTGGTTCCTGGTAGGTCCATCCATAAAGTGGGCATGATGGATGGTTCTTGGATATTTACAGGTGGGAACTGGGCAGGTCCATCCATAACGTGGGCATGATAGATGGTCACTGAATAGTTAGAGGTTGAGTCTGAGTAGGTCCATCCATAAAGTGGGCAAGATGAATATATTTAGAGGTGGGGTCTGGGCAGCTCCGTCCATAAAGTGGGCATGTTGAGTGTTCTCATATTTAGAGATTTGATCTGGGAAAGTCCATACATGATGGATGTTCCCTGAAGTTTTAGAAGTGGGAACTGGGCAGGTCCATCCATAAAGTGTTCATGATGGATAGATCCTGAATATTTAAAGGTGGGGACTGGGCAAGTCCATCTATAAAGTGGGCTTGATGAATGGGCCCCTTATATATAGAGGTGAGGTCTGGGCAGCTCCATCCATAAAGTGGGCAGGCTGAGTGATCCCCTCATATTTAGAGATTTGATCTGGGCAGGGCCATCCATGATGGATTGTCCCTGAATTTTTAGAAGTGGGAACTTGGCAGGTACATCCATAAAGTGTTCATGATGGATGGTTCCTAAATATTTAGATGTGGGGATTTGGCAGGACCATACCTAAAGCGGGCATGATGGTTGGTCCCTCAATATTTAGAGTTGGGGTCTGGACAGAACCAATTCATAAAGAGGGAGTGATTTGACCATGTCCACATGGAAAGTGGCAGATGAAATGTAGACCATGGGTGGGGTTAATCCCAAATCCCAAGATAATGGACCCCAATGTTTGTCTTTATGCAATACAAACATGCACCATGTAGAATCGGAACTCCTGAATATTTTTTCAGGGCAAATTACTCAAAATACTACAGCCAAATAATCAATATGCAAACAGGCCAAATAGCATTTTCAGAAGAGGTAGAAGGTGGTTCCTTTCCACCTATAAAGTGTTAGTAAGGTTTCCTTTTGTTCCCAATGGCCAAACCATAATTATAAGCTGCTAGGGAGGTCCGCATTAAGTTGAACCTATTGCTTTGGCCTGCATGGGCACCTCTTTAATATGGGCCTCTTTGTTCCAGAAAAGCTTGTTATAGAACCAGTACATTATATCTGAAAGACACGCACCGAGAATACTAAGCACCCAATACTTGCCTGTGCATGCCTTCTTTATTGGTGGATCCGTTGTGTTCATGATAGACATTTTGTGTGGTCTTCCTGGTCCCAATTCTTTGGCACATGTTGGCACTAATGAATTTAGTACTTAATTGTATATTTTAGCTTGGCTGTTGCACAAAACATTTTTGGTGCAAAAGTAATATTTGTGGTTTAGGTTTTTTGAGCCTGATAAGGACCACACCAAAAATGTATGTCCTAGTGGCTTTAATGTCGCATACAAAATAAGATGCAACGTATGCTTCGAAACCTTGTGTTGACCACTTTTGCTTCTGATTCAAAAACAACCGTGGCATTTGTCAAGCAATAAAAATCAAATTAATGGGCTACAAAAGTCTTTGGCACTATGTAGAAGTCCGTGTCCCTGCTTGCTGGCCACTATCGATAGAGTTAGAGATATTATTGTGGCAAAACATCCAAAGCCCTTGGAATGCCCTTGTCTAATGAAATAGTGGGAGGAGAAAAGCACTAAGTGGAGTGTGGATAAATCTCTAGCAACCAATCAGAATGGCCTTTTCTGAAAACCAGACTAACCAAGATGGATACCTGTTTTTTATTGTAAAGCGCTGAGCAAACTGTTGGCGCTATATAAATCCTGTATAATAATAATAATTAAGCCCAAAAACTGAGCTGAAGAACGGTTCATATGTAATGTGGTCAGGTGACTCGTGTCCTCCTCTTCATCCACCTGCTTAAAGAATGGGCAGAATGTGGTTACAATCAGCAGTGGTTATTGAACCCATTTTTTTTCTGACCAACCATTGGAAACATACGACCTCATTTCCCTTTCATGTGTAGAATGTAGCATAATTCTCTTAAGATTTTGCAAATATTTTGCTAAAGCACATCACGTGTGACTATTTGTACATCTTCTCCAGTGTGGTAAAATAGGCCCCATTTTTTAAATGCTGTAAACTGCAGTTTTGTTGTTGAGCACTGTGGGTTGTATGTTCGAAACCCATAAGGGACATTGACTACACTGAGGTTGTACACTTTACAACCAATATGTTGTTGGTTTCAGACATTCACACCTATTTGGACATCCCATGCCAGAACCATGGGCATGAAAATGGAGTTGGCTCCTACAAAAAAAATCTATAACAGCCTCCATTCCTCTGAGAAGGCTTTTCACCACATTGTGGATTGTGTCTGTAGGAGTTTGTGCCAAAAGAGGTCAGGTATTGATGTTAAATGAGAAGATCTGGCTCACAATTGCCATTCCAACTCAACCCCAGGATGTTGAACAGGGTTGAGATCAGGGCTTTGTGAAGGACACTCAAATTTCTCCACACCAAATTCATCAAAACATGGCTTCATGGAGCTTTGTTCACCAGCTTTGTATACTTGAACTAAAAAAACTTTAGGGGCTGTCTACATACTGTTGACTGTATAGTAAATGCTTTCCTTATCTGAGAAGCTTCCCTCCCGCATTTCAACAAAATATACTCTATGCTGATGAGTGTGCATGCTGCGTCAGGCCGATTTGTGCTTCTAAGGTTGTCTCTGGTTTCTGCAGCCAATGTAAGTACTCCAGCTATAAGTCTGATATGAAAATTCAGCTGAAGAAAGTGGAAAGATAGTACTGGACTTGTAGGGTTATCTTTACTGATATGGCTGTTGGTGTAAATCAGGGGTGTCAAACTCAATTTCATCATGGGCTGCATCAGCATTATGGTTGCCCTCAAAGGGCTGATTGCATCTGTAAGTATAGATGTCTAGAGCACCCCATCCCCCTTACATCATAGGTCAGGAGCCCCCCCCCCCACTATCACAATTCAAGAGCCCCACACCCTCCCTTACATCATAGTGCACCCGCTTATCTTGTGCTGATGCCAGGAAAAGCTGGGGGCGGGGCTGGGAAGCAGAAAGTGCAGGGTCTGGAGGAGGACCAGAGGAGGACTGGAGTTAGCTGCCAGAGTCTGCTGAATGCAGAGGCCAGGGGAGACGGAGACAAGGAGAAGCATCTGTAGGAGGAGTTCTGTCATCCTCTCTGCTGCTGACTGCTGAGACAAGATGGTGGCTGAGAAGAGGGGGATGCCGCAGCTGTAGAAGAGATGTGGGAGCCACCTGAAATGGCCTGGTGGGCTGTGTTCAGCTCGAGGGCCTTGTGTTTGACACGTGGTCAGGGGTGTATTTACCACAAGGCAAACAAGGCATTTTTCAGGGGGGCAGCAACTCCCCCCAGAAGACGGGAACCAGGTGGGATCCGAGAGAGGCTGCGGGCTGTCCGCGGGAGGGGGAAGGGGTGGTGGTGTTGGTCAGTGTCCGTGGGGGCAGACGGTTTTTTGTGTTGCCTAGGGCAGCAGAAAACCTAAATACACCACTGCATGTGGTGTAAATGATCTGGTTCCTGAGCAAATGGCCTCTATACCCCACAGCAGCCTTTCTCAACCAGGGTGCCCAGGCACCCTGGGGTGCCTTGAGGTTTCTTCAGGGGTGCCTTGGCAAAATGTCTAAAAATTGCCCAAAACTTGTATACAAGCCAGCCGGTGGAACAAGCCTTCCTTTTAGTTACACAAAGTCACAGGTTTTCATTGTGCACCAATACAACCTTCTACCCACCAGTTTCCTGACAACCAATTACATCATCAGTTGCTAAGGAGGATGTCAGCTGCCTGCACAGCATCCTAGTTTGACCCTTCCCAGCCCCTCTCTATCAGTGCTGGGGTCATATTAGCTCAGTGATGGAGAAAAACTGAGGGAGAAGAGAAAAAACTGGAATACTCGTCAGTATCAGTGTGTAAACATGTATTTGCTTTGGAAGAATAAATCACCTCTAATGTTGGGTGTCCTACATGTGTGGATGTTGCCGTGTTATACAAAACTATTAGAATAGTTTTTCACATTTTAGAATGGGGTGTCTCAAGACTGTCCTTATTTTAAAGGGTGCCTCGGGACTGTCCATAATTTTAAAGGGTGCCTCAAGACTGTCCTTAATTTTAAAGGGTGCCTCAAGACTGTCCATAATTTTAAAGGGTGCCTCGGGACTGTCCATAATTTTAAAGGATGCCTTGGGACTGTCCATAATTTTAAAGGGTGCCTCGGGACTGTCCATAATTTTAAAGGGTGCCTCGGGACTGTCCATAATGGGTCCTCGGGACTGTCCATGATAGTAAAGGATGCCTCAAGACTGTCCATAACTTTAAAGGGTGCCTCAGGACTGTCAATAATTTTAAAGGGTGGCTCAAGACTGTCCATAATTTTAAATGGTGCCTCAAGACTGTCCATAATTTTAAAGGGTGCCTCGGGACTGTCCATAATTTTAAAGGGTGCCTTGGGACTGTTCATAATTTTAAACGGTGCCTCGGGACTGTCCATAATTTTAAAGGGTGCCTTGGGACTGTCCATAATTTTAAAGGGTGCCTCGGGACTGTCCATGATAGTAAAGGATGCCTAAAGACTGTCCATAATTTTAAAGGGTGCCTCGGGACTGTCCATAATTTTAAAGGGTGCCTTTGGACTGTCCATAATTTTAAAGGGTGCCTTGGGACTGTCCATAATTTTAAAAGGGTGCCTTTGGACTGTCCATAATTTTAAATGGTGCCTCGGGACTGTCCATGATAGTAAAGGATGCCTCGGCACTGTCCATAATATTAAAGGGTGCCTTGACTGAAAAAAGGTTGAGAAACACTGCCCCAGAGGATCTCCACGGTCTCTTTGACTTGTAGTGTAATGCAACGACAATTGAAAATGAAGCGCCACACCCACTGCTAAGAGGTCCAGATACAACTTTATTCCATTAAAAGTCAGGAGGACAATCCAAAAAAGTAGCTGACAAACAAGTTGCTGATAATTCATACTGGAAAAAATACCATTGTAGGTCGAGTTCGCTTCACACACTGTTGCCAGGCTTGGACCCCCAAATGTGTTGGCTACGTTATAGATTGTACCCCTGATTTTTAATGGAATAAACTTGTATCTGGATGTCTTAGCAGTGGACTGGTGCTTCAATTTCAATTTTCGTTAAGTGAAAATTCAGCTGGCATGCAGAAAATGCTTGCACTCTGATGCATTGATTACTAGTAATTGCCCCGTTTAATATATGTTTATCAATAGGTCATTTTAGGTAAGAGGCTCTTGATGTTGTCTCAAGTGGTTTGTAAAATAGGAAGTTTGGATTTCACGGGAAAAAGCATCCTCCATACCCGCAGTGGTCAAATAACAGCCATCCAGTCGCTGATGTTCTCATGATCATATGTGCAGACTAACTGGCTATTTGTGATAGAAAAGTAAGCCAGAGGAAGTGGTGATCATATCTCATGTGTCAAGTGATACAACCGTCTGACGGACAAAAGGATCTGGTTTTAAGATGGTTGTCAGCTGTGAAAAAGAAAGACGAGAGTTCTGTATTTTGTTTATGACAATTTACACGGCGCTTCACATATTGTACATTCACATCAATCCCTGCCGTCCAGGAGCTTACAATCTAAAGGCCCTATCTGGCCAGCATACATAAATCAGCTTCTACAGGAACCAATAAATCTACCAGAATGTCTTTGGCATATGGGAGGAAACTGGAGTAAACCCAAGCAAGTCCAGGAAGAAAGCTCAAACTCCATCCAGATAGGATCCTGGCCAGGATTCGAACAGTGCTGCAAGTAAGAAGTGCTGACCACTAAGGATAATAGGCACTCAAGGCATTCAAAAGTCATTCAAAAGTAAATCAATCTAGAAGTGATAGTTTTTACCTACTAGAGCCATGGGTGTCAAAATGGCGGCTCTCCAGCTGTTGCTAAACTACAAGTCCCATGAGGCATTGCAAGATTGGCAGTTACAAGCATGATTGGTGGTATAACAGTATATAGCAGGGGTCTCCAAACTTTCTAAAGAAAGGGCCAATTTACTGTCGTTTAGACTTTAGGGAGGCCAAACTACAAGTCCCATGAGGCATTGCAAGATTGAGAGTTACAAGTATGACTCCCAAAGGCAGGGGCATGGGCATGATGGGACTTGTAGTTTCTCAACAGCTGGAGGGCTGCCAGTCTGACCTAGAAGATCGCAGCTGTCCCTGCAGTAGCTGTAGTGGTCCCCATCTGCCCTCCAGATATCACAAGCCAAGCCACCAATGTAATTATAGAAGAAAAATCCCTATCCCAAAAACATCCCTATCCCAATGGCTCTCATCCTGAGCTCTATGCCTCCTATAAAATCTAGCTTACCCATGGGATTTCAAATGCCCAGCTTTCCCTGGAAGTAGTGATGAGGCACGGGTGATATCACCTATCACCCATTAGAAATGTCACCAATGCCTCGGAAGCATGACTCCCAAAGGCAGGGGCATGATGGGACTTGTAGTTTCGCAACAGCTGGAGGGCCACCAGTTTGTCACCCCTGTACTAGAGAAAAGTTTGAAAAACACTGTGTAATACAATAGGCACTAGTATTTGACCATGTTGCTCCTGGTCAGATATGCCCCCTCTAGCCCTACCAGTCAAGTCAGGGTAATGAGCGGTAGGGTCATTTTTATCTATACCCTCAGAGAGCGCTGGGGTGGCATTGCAGGCATTTCCTCAAAGTGAAAGGGTCATTTAAGGCATTGCTAAAAATAAATATATAATCAGATGTAAATGTAAAATTTGGTGGTATAACAGTATATAGCAGGGTCTCCAAACTTTCTAAAGAAAGGGCCAGTTTACTGTCCTTTAGAATTTAGGGGGGCAGGAGTGGTTATTGGGAGTAGAAATTGTCCTGGTGTCAGTGAGAGTAAGCAATCATCTTTGGTATTAGGGAGGGCAAAAGCCCTCTTGTCATTGGTACCAGTGGAAGGCATAGTGCCCCGTTGTTGGTGTCAGTGGAAGAAAAAAATGCCCCATTGTTGGTGTTAGTGGAAGGAATAGTGCCCCCTTGTTGATGTCAATGGGAGGAATAGTGCCCTGTTGTTGGTATTAGTGGAAGAAATAATCCCCATTGTTGGTGTCAGTAGAAAGAATAGTACCCCATTGTTGGTGTTTGTAGGAGAAATAGTGCTCTATAGTGGGTGTCAGGGGGAGGAATAGTGCCCCATTGTTGGTGTCAATGGAAGAAAAAATGCTCCCTTGTTGATGTCAGTGGAAGGAATAGTGCTCCCTTGTTGATGTTAGTGGGAGGAATAGTGCCCCCTTGTTGGTGTTTAGTGGAAGAAATAATCCCTTATTGTTGGCGTCAGCAGGAGGAATCGAATAGTGCCCCAGTGGAAGAAATAATGTCCCATTGTTAGTGTTTGTAGGAGAAATAGTGCCCCATAGTTTGTGTCAGTGGGAGGAATAGTGCTCCATTGTTAGTGCCAGTAGAAGGAATAGTGCCCTATCATTGGTGTCAGTGAAAGGAATAGTACCCCATTGTTGGTGTCAGTGGAAAAAATAGTGCCCCATTGTTGGTGTCTGTAGGAGAAATAGTGCCCCATTGTTGGCGTCTGTAGGAGAAATAGTGCCCTATAGTTGGCATCAGTGGAAGTAATAGTGCCCCACTGTTGGTGTCAGTGGGCAAAATAGTGCCCCATTGTTAAAGTCAGTAACAGGAACTATGCCCCATTGTTGGTGTCAGTAAGAGAAATAGTGCCGTTTATCGGTGGGAGGGAAAGTGTCCAAAGGGCTGGATAAAGGTAATCAAAGGGCCGCATTAGCCCCCGGGACGCAGTTTGGAAACCACTGTTATTGAGAAAAAAAATGTTTAGGGGCTTCAACTAGATTTTTATGTTTCAATATTTTTATTAAATTTTTCAGAGAAAAACAAGGGAGTGAAATATGGTTCATTCATACAATATTACATTAGACGATACATAGTTGAGTATTTTTTTTGTTGTTCCACCCAATGGTAGGTGGAGGTGTAGATCTTGTTTAGGAATATCATCAGAGGTATTCATATATGTATGACGAACCTTGTTGGAGAGTTGGGTTCAACTAGATTTTTAGATGTTGGTGGATTCCGATAGACTGTCACCTGTTGGATTTTTCTATCTTGAGAAATCAGCAACACTATCCATAGTATATACATTAAAAAAACAAACAGCATAGAAAGACAGCCTCGGAAGGAGTGCAGACCTGAGAGGTCAAGAGTAGAGATTTCACCATCAAGATCCTTGAGAGATCTAAGAAACCGTGAAATGGTTATATCTACAGCTATATCGGTTTTTACTGTCCTGATGTTCCTAAAGTATATGTAATATGTAATATATGGCAGCAAAGTTATTGACTCTGTAGATACAGCAGCCTTTCTCAACCAGGGTTTCATGGAACCCTAGAGTTCCTCCAGAGGTTGCTAGGGGGAGCAATGAACAATTTTGCTAGGAGAAGGCAGTGGAGGGGGCCTGGTACCTCTTGTGGCACAGAGGCAATAGGAGAAGGGGGCAAAAAAGGGTCAAGTATTATGAAAGAAGAGGGTGGTGATAGGTGACCCAAGGGTTCCAGATCTTGTCAAATTTCTTGTGGCTGTTGGTAATAGGATTGGTCAATTGTCCATTGACATAAAAACCATCCAGCCTGGGCAAACACTTTAGACCAAACAATGGCTGGTTTAATGGTTGAACTGGATGGACTATTGTCTTTTTTTCAGCCAGACTAACTATGTAACTATGTAACCAAAATCAACCTAGCATCGAGCAAGTCCACCATGTATGGAGGACATCTCCTTCTGTTTGGCAACCCCTAAAGCATAATTGTCAAGGGGTTATGCGAGCGAGTCTGGTAGGTAATATATACCACCTAGTTGAGACCTTAGAATTGGATTAGAGAGTTGTGACATTAATAGTGCAATTCGCGGTGGTGGACCAAGTCCAGGACTAACTTTAGTATTTTCAATGTTTTAATGATTACAGTATCCCCCCCCCCCCCCCCCCCCCCGGATCTCTAAGTGCCAGGTTCAAATCTCACCCAGGACAATACCTCTGTGGACTTTGTAATGTTTTCCCATTTAGTGAGGTTTCCTGAAGGTGCTATGGTCTCCTCCCAGAATCCAAAAATTTCATGGTGATCTTAGTCCCACCATAACGTGTATGTATGTTGGATTCTGTGAGCTCTGTGGGGGCAATAGGTCCTAAGCCCAGGGTCAAGGACTAAAATGGTTCTGAATAACCTGTAAATCACTGCATAATACGAGGACAGCGTAAAAATACAGCAACTAAATAACAAAGGGAATTCTGTAATAAAAAAAAAATAAATAACAAATGGAATTACATTAAATATTGTGTTTTGTACAATTTTCAATAATAAAAATTTTCTTCTGGGAAGCAAAAAAAAGTTTCTTCTGTGTAAAGCCCAAACAACTGGAAACCATCATTGATCATTTTAAAATTACAAGCGCCATAAAAGTACGTGTTTCCATTGGTGGCCCACTTATGGCTTGTTCTCAAAAAATCAACTCTTTACTAAAAATTGCCCCAGCCTTCTGAGACATGTATTGGTTGAGACTTGTACTATCATATCTTGGCACTGGAATTCCCCAGAAACTCCATTAATTGAGGAGTGGGTATTCCAGATGATATCCTTTGAACGACTTACAAAGATGGTGTTCTAGGAGGGGAGGAGTATGGCCAATACCAATTGATTAGGACCCAAAAGGAACACCGAAACTTTACCAGATTTTTTTTTTTTTTAACTGTGAAGCCAGTCACAAAATTGCCCCAACCTTCTAAAGCATGTCTTGGCTGCAACTTGTACTAATATAGCCAGGCAC